CCCTACAATTCGAACTCTACATCATTTAAAGCAGAGAAATTAAAAGGAAAGATTTCTTCAAAACCAGAAAGCAGTTTCTAGCAAACTCTAAAATACTCACCTGTGATATCTCATGGTAAAGCTGCTCATCACTTTGCTCTGCTTCTGCATACAACAGAACAAGCTGTTCAGTATTAATGAACATTGTTGTGAGCAAAAATGCAAACTTTAAGAAATTAAACAGGGATATTTCACAATGCTCATAAGATAGCCTTGTGGAAACTCTTGCTATAGTGCACTAAGAAAAGTGCTTCGATCGTAACAACAGTTCAACTGATCCAGTAACTTGGAAGATAGCCTGCTGCATGCATTTTTTTCAGTAGGTATTTTAAAGATGAATCATTATGTTTCCAGAAAGGTTCTGCATGAAATGAGTCACAGTTTGGATCCCCAACATTTATCAAAAGACCCTTCCCAGAATAATAAGCGACACCATCTGTTCTATAACGTAAACTCCACCACAAAACATGGCACAGAGTAATTTTATTGCAGAGTCAATTAATATCTTCATTACTCAAATCTATGGAATATCATCCCATAGAAAGCATATATATTGTTTATTTTGCTCCAAATAAGGAACACACTAAAGATATACTCAAACAGTGAAGGGAGAGAAGAAGCAAGAATCTGTTAACAGAGCCTAATTTTTTGCTTCCATCTTAAATGGATGAAGACAGTTTTCACCAGAGATTTTATGTATTGACCTGTGAAGAGGATAACTTGGATTTTTATCTAGTTGTGCACATATTTACACAAGCATATGAACTTAATGCTCAAAAAGATCAAGGAAGCTGCAATATGTTAAAAAAAATGAAAATAAAAAGTTTTAAACTGAATTTCTAAGGTCAGACATGGCATGCTTTTGTATCACAAACATACAGAATAAGGTAAGTCTCCTGCATCTGACTAAATTCTTCCTTGAAAGAAAAATAGCTCCAAATTCAATGAAAGTGCCACCTGCATCTGAATCTCTAAATATGCACAACAGAAAGAACACTATCTTCACTGGAATATCACCCCACTGCCTTCCATGGAAGTACCACAAGTTCCTGTTTTGATTTGAATTAATGGGATCAGCCACCACCACTTGATGTAGTTTTATCCCCTGAGTTTCAGCTTCCATCTAGTGTTTTCCTACATGCAGTTTTGGTCCCATACCAGTATTACCACTAAAGAGGCTATTGAGTTAGAGAAGCAAATCCACACCACTTCAGTCAAACTTTACGCGTACTCTGCAGTCCTTTTACCTGAATAATCCACGATGTGGGTTGGCACTCTTTCAGGGGTAACATCAGCTGGAATGGTGATTTCTTCAGCACGGGGTGGAACCTTGGGTTGTAAACAAACAGCAAGAAAAACTTTAAAAGATAAACACTGCAACTTATCTGCTGATTAGTTGGTTTTACATAAAACAGTTTAATAGCCTAAACGCTTCTTTTTGCCGTGCTTTGAAAGTCACTGCTACTTTCTGGTTATTTAATAGTACACCTGCTGCATAAGTGGTTTCCTGCATGTTATGCAGGAAAGCAGCGTTTCTAAGGGATTCAATGAACGCTTCGATAAAACTCAACCCATTACACCCAATTCTCAACTGTAAGTTATCTTAAACAAAAATGCTATATAAATAAAAGTCTTATGAAAACATCTTACAATCCTATGTAACAAATAAGTCCCCAGGCTGAGAGAGGCTTGTAATTCATTAGGTGCATCAACATAGAGTCCATCAAGGAGTGTCCCCTAGAGATCCAGCTGCTGATTGCCCTTAAACTGTTTTTTTTCACCCAAGAGATTGGGGATTAAATTTAATTATGTTACTAGTCTGATCCCCGCTCATGAGCTGTGGTAACCTACTGACTGGCACTAAACATAAGGCACTGCAATTTCAAAGAGCAGCACATGATGACTATTTTAAGGCTTGTGATCAGAAGAAATAAACATTCATGTTTATATGTAAAAATCTTAACTATCTGCAGCAGTTGCAGCCACATGACGGCATGAAGAGAACTGCTTTTTATAAAGCAATAAAATGTGGAAGTAGCTCTGCTTTTATGCTGGAAGAAAGCAGTGTAAGTGTTCTGGGTTTTTTTTTTTTTTATTTCAATCATGAAAGTATTTCTCAAAAGTAAAATTAAATGCTGTGTCTTTCTTATCTACAAAAAAAAAATGCTATCTACAAGTTATACAATATGGCTTATTAATTTCTCATTTTCATTTATTTTTCAATCTACCTCAGCTCTACAGAAGTAATATGCAAAAAAAAAAAAAAAGGAGCATCTTGCTTCTTTGAGCATCTTCCCAGTTATGAGTCTAACGCTGAAACATGCTGCCAGTTCTGATCAGTTTCAACTGCTTACAAACCTACATCAAAAATATGATTTTAATTAAGCATGTGAAAAACAAGAATGCAATTTAATTAAAAATTGTATTCCCGATCTTTGCACAGAGGTATTTAAACTAACTTAAAATCACTCTTACAGGTAAAATCCTCATTGTTTTAATTCGCTCTTTTTTTAATAGAAAAGGTTATTTTAAGGTTGAGCCTATGAAGTTATCTTTTAGGAAAAAAAAAAAAAAACACCACAGGATAGAAATAATATTTCAAGAACAAATAAGGATGGTCTACCTCTTCTGGAAATTCTTCACTGACAAGTGACATAATTAGCGATGTCTTCCCAACTCTGGCTGTAAAAGAAGGAAAAAAAATAGATTAAGTGATTCAATTTTGTTACACTTAATAGTTGCACCCCATCTTAAAGCATAAAATATTTTAAAAACATTTTCCAACTGATGATGTTAGATATTTACAGTTTAAAAATACAGAATATAGATCCTAGTCATTCTCTCAGAAGTCTTTTATTATAGAGCTTCAGATTCCACTTAATCTTTCAAATTTTTGTCAAAAAAAGGGAATCAAATTTTGCTCAGTCTTAGAGAAAATCAGCAGAATTTACCTTAATGCAGAATACTTACGCAACAAAGCCAACCAAAACAAACTAGAAATGCATTAGCAGAGCTTAAGAGTTACAAAGAAAGCACACAAGCAGGAATTTAATTATTAACTGTTTTTGTAGTATTCTTGATACCATTATTAGGCCTTGGTCCCAAACTATCAATGATTAAGAGCTAGAAGACATGGGTCTATCACAACTGAACAAAGTCTCCACAAACTAACCTGACCACTTCAGAAATGCAACAAGAGCAGTCCCTGTGGTACAAACGAGCTTTTCCCCCTCAAAAAAAAGAAAGTGGAAAACTCCTAAAGGCACTTTTTCTTTCTTTCTTTTTAATCCAAAAAGCAGAACAGTACTTAGCTCTGTTCAAGCAAATAGCTCAGTGTACCTTCAAAGTTAAGAATTTTGGCTTCCTTACTGGATTTCCTGGCTTTGAGCATCTTTGAATTAAGTCGGTAAGTTTGTTCAGGGCACTTCTATCCCTGAAGTCCTCATTTGCCCATTTTGTGTTCTTTTGAAAGCCTTGAAAGACTATTACTGCTTTAATTGTTTGTGACCCATTTCTTTAACATAAAAATACCAAAATGGATTCAAGTATTATCTGGGGTTGTAAAGCATTTTTGACTGTTCAATTCAGTACAATTCAAGCAAAAGCTACTTCATCCTGGTCAAATAACATCTTCTCTACTATGTGTGATTTACTAACCCAGATGCTGCATCTCCTCCTCCTCCCACCCCTCCCTCACCCCCCCTCCAAAAAAAAAAAAAAAAAAAAATCCCAAATACACGCATAACTGCAAAAATAGGAAAGTCTGGACAAGTGTCCTCTCCTCAGTCCTGCAACTATCATTGAATCACCTGCCACTTGATGTGTGTATATATATTTAGCTAAGCCCAACTCCTTTTGGAAATACAGCTTCAGCACAATAGAAGTGACTGCAGTTTGCAGCGAACAGTGCTAAGTTGCCGTCTTTACTTTTGAAGGTCCATAAATCAACTCATGCATACTGCACAATACTAAGTTTTGGTGAATTCAAACAGCACTCGGGCTGAAGGCTAAACTGATGTGATCTTCTAGCCATAATTAGTCATAAGTCGTAGTTCTGGACTTGATGTTATATTCCTCAAGATATTTCTGAACATAGGTAGGCAATACAATTGTTTATAGAGTAGGAAAGCCAAAATACAAAGACTTGTCCAAGAATTTAAAAATAAGCAACAAGCAGGAAGCTAAAGCAACTTGCTGGCACAGCTGAAGGCAACCCGCACCAGCCAGGCCAGAGCGACCTGGGAAGGACAGGACTTCCAGACTGCAGGACAAGGAACTAATCCTTAAACTTCACATATGCACAAATCGAGTCCACATTGCTCCGTGAAAGTTTTCTAGTAGTTTATTTTTGAGGTGTTCTAAGACAACACACTACTGAAGGCACTTGGTTATGAATTTTTTCCTGAATGTTTAATTCAGAGCAAGTGTTCTGATGTTGTTGCTATGAAAGACCATAGGCTGAGGGGTAGACATGAGGTTTATTTTGCTTGAATCTAGGTCAGCCATTTGCCTTCCCAATTCTGTTTATAGTCTTGGAAATAACAGCCTAAACAGTATCAATTGGGCAGGATGAAAAGACAGCACAGTGCTTTATGATGATTAACTGGGCTTCTCTTTTTCCTCATATACAGAAGCCTTTTGGACCATGCCAGGCAAAAATAGCACGCTAAGACACTTTCTGAAAATTAGTGGCTATTAGAAATCAGTGTTTGCACCCTGGATACTGGAACTAAAATAACCTTAACCTAACATGAAAACCACTGGGGATGAAGAAAGCAATGTTTTGGGACAGGCTTACATCAAAAGGCTTTCCCATAATATTCCACAGTCTGAAGCTGACAGATTACTACCAAACTCTAGCAGTTTTATTGATACAGAAAATAATTTTTCCCCTTCTGTTTATTACAGCTCCAGTAGAAATACAGTATAATGATGCCCACAATCCCTGATATGTATCTATACTGTAGACTGCTATAAAGTCTACATAGTAGATTGAAATTTACCCAATAGGACACATTATGCACTCAGCTGCCAAACAAACACAAATCTGTCGATACCTTTAGGTAAACCACTGACCTAAACCAGTTCAGAACATACCAGCCTTCTACAGCGTGACTTTGACATGCTCTTCTTCCCCCTACAACACCACCCAAGTTCTCACTGTTCACATGGGGCACTACGTTGGTTTTTAAAAGGGGGCTACGTTTGTGGTAGATTTTAATTATAGAACTTTCCTTCCTTAAGCACTTATTCTGCAGCTAGAAAATATTAAGTCTGGCATTTTGACATTTCTTAATTCAAATGACTTCATATGATTTTTTCTTTCCATCTACTACTTGATTAACGTAAATATGTATACATACACACATATATACATACATACACACAAACAGTTCCAACATTCTAGCTAAATAGAAGATCGGTTGACTTTGAATTAAACCCAGAATCCATTAAGTAACAAGTGCAGACTCCAACCGGGCAATTAGTCTACCCAATAAATATAATTCTGACACAAGCAACCCTGAACTCATTGCCAAAGACAGTAAGGCAGATTAGGCACACATTTTGAAAAGGAATGCAGGTGCATGTTCAAATGCACAAAAACATTTCTAAATAAGCTGAAACCTGTGGTCTTGTGAAACTGGTCAAACAGAGGTTTTACAAGCTCAACCCTCCTTCCCTGCATGGTAACATCTTGCTACAGACTGCCTTTAAAGAAGTCCGAGAGAAGCTCTTTAGACAGTAAAGACAGAAGCAGCCCCTACAGTCACACAATTTCATGAACCGTGGTAGAAATACCTTATGTATCCAACCCACAAGGATGCTTTGTGAGTAATACCACCTTGTTAGTAGGATCACATAATTTTACTAATAACAGTTGCAATTACTTTACACTCTTTTCCTGCAAGGTATCTAAGAGCACTTTACAAACTAGCAAAACAGAAGCTCTTTGTACCTTTGAAAACCTGTCCCTGATTTGGATACCTAAGTAAGAACTTAAGGGCATAATTTTAGGGACATGCTAAACAACAACAAAAGCTCGTTACAACTTTGGCATGTGCACAAGCACGTAGTTTACCCAAGGTCATGCATCACGTTAACGCTCCCAGGCCCCGAGCTGACTGCAACTGTCCAGCGCCCAGCACAGCCGCTGCCCAGAGGGGCTTGGGATTTTGGGAGTTCCAACCTCGGCATAAAACAATGACTAAATCTCGGCTGGTGGAGGACCAAAAAAAAAAAAAAAAAAAAAAAAAAAGGGGGGGGAAAGGGCGGTACGGGCTGGACGACAACTTGG